TCAGCTTTCCCTGCCTGTGGCTTGGTTCCAGGGCCAGAGCTGAAGTTCAAGCAAAGGGACCCACAGACAGAAAGAGCCCTGAACACTCCCTTGCTCTACTGGAGTAGTACACCAGACCAATAGCCATCCTTGACAGTTAGCCTGCTGAGCAGCCATGGATGGTAGGTAGCCATGAGCTGGCAGAGGACACATGGAGCCAGAATGGATGGAGTCATCAATTTGTGGCTGAATTAGGCCTCATAAACATTGATTGTTTGTGTCTACTTAGTGTTACGAGGATATTTAGTGCCTCAAGCCTTGCACATATTTTTATATCACTGGTATTTAGCGCACAGGTGCCTCATGAATATTGAGTGTCTTATGAATATTAGGCGTCTCTTGGCCCTTTCTGTGTTAAATATATACATGCCATTATTTCTAACATATTTTATGAATTTCATTTATCTAACGTTTTTCTTTTTTAGAGCAAACACCCAGGCAAAATCTCTGAGAGTGATAGTGTCTGGCCAGGAATCCAGTTTTGGGAAAGGACATAAAGACAAGAGAACGCATTCTGGCTCATGCCTCCCCTTGGCTGGACTTAATTCCTAACAGCACCAGAGCCTCCACGTGTCTGTTGGCTGGGAGCCTTGCCCATGAGGAGACTGTTTACAAAACCGATGAGGAACAGAGGTAGGGTGACTGTACATCTGAAACGAGAGGCCCCTATTAAGGACATGCCGAGTGTGGCTCCATAAAAATAAAGCCTTTACCAAAATGATGGCTTGTTCTGCTCTGACCCCTCTGCTCAGAACAGCCTTGGAATTCTTTGCCAATTGTCTTTAAAGGCCCATAAGAAAAATCTGATTCATTTTTTTATAGCACCCCCCTGATTTTCTTTTGTTTTCTTTTTCTTTTTGGTATTAGGATCTTGGTTAGAGTAAAAAGAACTAGGTTTGCAGACAGAGAAAGACAAGTATCAAATGATTTCAGTCATTTGTGGAGTATAACAACAAAGCAAAACTGAAGGAACAAAACAGCCTCAGACTCATAGACTCCAAGAAGGGACTAGTGGTTACCAAGTGGGAAGGGCTGGAAGGGTGGGTGGCGAGGGAGGGAGAAGGGGATTAAGGGGTATTATAATTAGCACTCACAATTTAGGTAGGTCATGGGTAAGGCAGTACATCATGGAGAAGACAAGTAATGACTACAGCATCTTACTACGCTGATAGACAGTGACTGCAGTGGGGTGGGGGGACTTGATACTATGGGTGAATGATGAAACCATGATGTTGCTCATGTGAAAACTGCATAAGATTGTATTTAAATGATACCTTAATTTAAAAAAAAGTAGAGTTGGAGTTGGAGAAACTTAGGTGTGAATTCTAATCAAATAACTTAATAGCTGTGTGACCTCAGATTAGCCTCATACCCTCTGTAATTCTTAATATTCTTATATATAGAGAGGATCATGATACTTATCTAACCCCCATCCTTTCTCATGTAAGAAATTACTTAGATGCAATGGCAGCCTCTAAGGTCACAATCAGGCAAGCTGGTACTTCTTACCAGGGGTCACAGAACAGAAAGGCTCACTAACCAAATTAAGATGCTCAAATCACATGAATTATAAAACCAATGTAAAAGGAGAAAGATACCAGCACTCTGAGATAAGGTACAAGTCAGGTGAAAGGACCACATTACCCAAATCCTGGGGTAGGCCGAGTCTGTCTGTCTTGTCTCACTCTCTGCTACCTCAGCTTTCCCTGCCTGTGGCTTGGTTCCAGGGCCAGAGCTGAAGTTCAAGCAAAGGGACCCACAGACAGAAAGAGCCCTGAACACTCCCTTGCTCTACTGGAGTAGTACACCAGACCAATAGCCATCCTTGACAGTTAGCCTGCTGAGCAGCCATGGATGGTAGGTAGCCATGAGCTGGCAGAGGACACATGGAGCCAGAATGGATGGAGTCATCAATTTGTGGCTGAATTAGGCCTCATAAACATTGATTGTTTGTGTCTACTTAGTGTTACGAGGATATTTAGTGCCTCAAGCCTTGCACATATTTTTATATCACTGGTATTTAGCGCACAGGTGCCTCATGAATATTGAGTGTCTTATGAATATTAGGCGTCTCTTGGCCCTTTCTGTGTTAAATATATACATGCCATTATTTCTAACATATTTTATGAATTTCATTTATCTAACGTTTTTCTTTTTCTCCTTTGCAAAATTAAATATTTTCAAATAAAACAACAAATACATATTACAGCATTCTATTGGAAGGCTCAAATGAGAAAGTACTTTGTACGTTGTAAAGTTGTATACAATTTGTAAAATTGTACACAATTTAAAGGGATTATTTATTATTCCTGCTGTTATGATTATGGCCATTTATAAAAATCAAATCTATCTTTAAAAAGTAAAGAGGAGACAGTTTAGCCTAATGCTTAAGAGCTATGAACTCTGCCAATAACTGGCTTCACTAACCTTTGGGAAGTTGTGTAATCTCTCTGAGACTATTTCCTCATCTGTAAAATGGGAATAACAGCAGCTACTTCATACTGCTATAGTGGAGACCAAAGGAAATAATGTGCTGAAAAGACTTAAGAAAATGTTTGGTCCATAGGAATGATGACACCTGACCTTTATTGAGCACTAACTCTGCCAGACACTCTGACTGTATGATGACAGGCATACTTCACTTTATTGTGCTTCACATATATTGCATTTTTTGCAAATTGAAGTTTTGTGGAGACCCTCTATCAAGTCCATTGGTGCCATTTTTCCAACAGCATCCTCTCACTCTGTCTCTGTGTCACAATTTGGTAATTCTCACAATATTTCAGAGTTTTTCATTATGATTATATTTGTTACGGTGCTCTGTGATCTTTGAGTTACTGCTGTAATTGTTTTGGGACTGCATGAACTATACCCGTATAAGACAGCGAGCTTAGTTGATAAATGGTGTGTGTTCTGACTGCTCCAGGACCAGCCATTCCCCCATCTCTCTCTTTTTTTCTCCTCAAATCTCCCTATTCCCCAGGACACAACAATATTGAAATCAGACCAATTAAAACCCTACAATGGCTTCTAAGTGTTTAAAGTGAAAGGAAGAGTGACGAGTCTCACTCTTGGGTACTAGCTGTAATCAAGAGCTAGAAATGATTAAGTTTAGTGAGGAAGGCACATTGAAAACTGAGATAGGCTGAAAGCTAGGTCTCTTGCACCAAGCAGTTAGCCAAGTTGTGAATGCACAGGAAAAGTTCTTAAAGGAAATTAAAAGTGCCAGTCCAGGGAACACAGGAATGATAAGAAAGCAAAACAGCCTTACTGCTGATTTGGAGAAAGTTTCAGTGGTTTGGATAGAAGATCAAACCACCCACGACATTTCCCTAAACCAGAGCCTAATCCAGAGCAAGGCTCTAACTCTCTTCAATTCTATGAGGCTGTGAGAGGTGAGGAAGCTGGAGAAGAAAAGTTCAAAGCAAGCAGTGGTTCATAAGGTTTAGAGAAGCTACCTGCATAACATAAATTGCAAGGTGAAGTAGCAAGTGCTAGTGTAGAAGCTGTACCCAATTATCCAGATCAAGCTAAGATTATTAATGAAGGTGGCTACATTAAACAATAGATTTTCAGTGCAGACCAAAGAGCTTCATATTGCAAGAAGATCCCTTCCAGAACTTTTATAGCTGTAGTGGAGAAGTCAATGCCTGGATTCAAAGCTTCAAAGAATAGGCTGACTCTCTTGTTAGGGGTTAATGCAGCTTGTGATTCTAAGTTGAAACCGATGCTCAATGACTATTCTGAAAATCCCAGGGCCTTTAAGATTTATGCTAAATATATTCTGCATGTGCCCTATAAATGAAGTAACAAAGCCTGCATGACAGCACATTTGTTCACAGCGTAGTTTACTAAATATTTTAAGCTCACTGTTGATACCTCCTGCTCAGGAAAAAAGATTCCTTTCAAAATATTCTTGCTCATTGATAATGAATCTGGTCACCCCAGAGCTCCCAGGGAGATGTACAGTGAAATTAGTGTTGTTTTCATGCCTGCTTACACAACTTCCATTCTGCAGCCCATGCGTCAAGGAGTCATGTCAACCTTCAAGTCTTGTTATTTAAGAAAAACATTTTGCAAATCTATAGCTGCCATAGAAAGTGATCACTCTGATAGCTCTGAGCTAATTACATTAAATCTTTCTGGAAAGATTCACCATTCTAGATGCCACTAAGAACATTCGTGATCTGTGGGAAGAGGCAAAATACCTACATTAACAAGAATTTGGAAGAAGTCAATTCCACCCCTCACAGATGACTTTAAGGGGTTCATTACTTCAGTGGGGAAAGAAACTGTAGGTGTGGTAGAAATAGCAAGAGAACTATAATTCAAAGTGGAGCTGAAAATGTGCTGTGATTTCATGATCAAAATTTAATGAATGAGAAGCTGCTTCTTATAGATGAGCAAAGAAAGTGGTTTCTTGAAATGGAACCTACTCCTGGTGGAGATGCTGTGAAGGTGGTTGAAATGACAACAAAGAATTTAGAATAATATGTGAACTTAGCTGATAAAACAGCAGCAGAGTTTGAGAGGATTGACTGCAATTGTGAAAGAAGTTCTGTGGGTAAAATGCTATCAAACAGTACCACATGCTACAGAGAAATTGTACATGGAAGGGAAAATCGATCAAGGCAACAAACTTCACTGTTGTCTTATTTTAAGAAGTGGCCACAGCCACCCCAACTTTCAGCAACTATCACCCTGATCAGTCAGCAGCCATCAACACTGAGGCAAGACCCTCCACCAGCAAAAGATTGCAACTTGCTGAAAACTCAGATGACCGTTAGCATTTTGTAGTAATGAACTGTTTTTTAATTAAGGCATATACATTGTTGTTTTAAAAGATGTAACACTATTGCACACTTAATAGACTAAGTATAATATAAACATGACTTTGATAAGCGCTGGAAAATTTAAAAATTCATTTGACTCACTTTATTGTGCTGCTCTCTTTATTTCAGTGGTCTGGACCTGAACCTGGAATACAAGTGTGATTATGATGCCCACTTTACAGATGAGGATTTTTAGACTGAACCAGAATTCAAACCCAGGCAATCTGACTATGAGCTCAAGCTCTTAACCATCTTAAAATACTAATTCTTACACAGTAAGTATACAATGTGTGTTGTATTATCATATGAATAAGATTGTTCGCTAGAGTAGATATTCAGTATCATGCTAAATAAATGTCATCATTGGTTTTGATATTTTGAATTGACTTTCTCAACTACAATTCTACCTTCTGTCTAGTTAGGGAGGTTGGAAATGTGTCCATGACATTTTCCAAAATCCTTTGCAGTTAGGGTTATGGATGTAAATTCTTCTTTGCTATAAGATGCATCTGTAAATGACACGGAAGGCAGAAGTGAGGGGAAGTCATCTTCCTGCTGCTAGAGCTTCTGGCAAACAAGGTGTGGTGGATGGACTCCTAAGCTGTGCCCAGATTCCCAACCCACAAAAAATGGGAGATAATAAATGCATGTTGTTTTCAGCTACTAGGTTTGTGGTCATGCAGCAATAGAAAACTAACACACAATTTATAGCAACTAAAGATCATGAGGCAGTGGGGGTAGCATGTGTGATTGGAGCAGCAGCTTCCTGACATGGGCATGGCAGCTACGGTGGACTGGATGCCCTTGAACTCAACAGTCCAGTAAAGTTGCCCTTGGCATCCACTCTTCCAGTCCTTCTGACAATTTCTTATTTCCTTAATTCCTTGCATTAAATCACTTTCTTCTTGAGTTACTCGAAGCCATTTCTGTTTCGTATACTAAATCTTAGTTCATATCATCACCCTGCTTCAAACCCATGTCCTATCTATGGCAATATGTAATTCTGTTGGTGACCCAAAAATATTTTAGGGTAAAACAGAGTAATTTCCTTTCAAAATGTCAAGGGAGAAAGGACATGATAATCATTGAGCAGTGCTGCTTCTTTAAATAGCCACAACAACCCTTTAAGGGCGATAATATTATTCCCATTTTACGGAAGAGAATACAGGCATTCAGACCCCGTGGTGACAACCCAAGGTTGCACATTGGGTGGATCGCATACCTGGCATGTAATTCCAGGTCTGATGGATGCCGGTTGCACATTCTTCCCACTGAGGCATATGGTAGGAATATCCTGGATTCCTACATGTCCTTTCAGTCATTCGTTCCTCAGATTTGTCTTGCATGTCTACCCTGTGGCCTGTGCTGTGCTAAGCCCAGGGCATTTCCCCAGGGGTTCGCACAAGCCACCGGGGCAGCTATGTGAGAAAACAGGCCATTACAAGGCAGGACATTAGATCCCACAGTGGAGGCTTGCACAGAAGGCTGAGTGGAGAGTGAAGAGGGGCATTGAGTGACCTGGCTTGGGGATCAGAGAAGGCTTCCCTGAGGAAGGGGTACAGGCAGGCACAGCACAGCTGTCCCTGCAGGCTCCTTCATGGCCCACTGACACAGCTGTGGGAAATCTAGAACAACACTGTTGGACAGGGACAACGGCATAAATGCTCATACAACTCGGTGTGACCGAGAATTTAGAATATTATGTGAACTTAGCTGATAAAACCGCAGCAGAGTTTGAGAGGATTGACTGCAATTGTGAAAGAAGTTCTGTGGGTAAAATGCTATCAAACAGTACCACATGCTACAGAGAAATTGTACATGGAAGAAATTGACCTCAGGCAGCCTTGACCAAACCCTGATGGGGCTCCTTCCACGCTACCGAGCCACCGTGTGGTCCCTGGGGGCCCCGCACCTGTTCTATTGACTGAGTGGCTGTCAAGCTCCAGCAGACCACAGGCTTGCTTTATTTAGTTGTTTACTCTTTGAAACAAATACATGTCCCATTTATTGTGGTTTTCAAAAATTAAATTAAAAACCTTTGAT